AAGGGAGTGAATGGAAAATCTGCATCAGAAACAAGGGCTTTGCGATCCGTTGTCGTCTGAGACAATGGCTTCACTTTGACTCATGGTTGAGCCGGTCCTGCCTCCATCCCACGGAACCCACGCGGCACCACCTCTGCTGGGGTAGCTTGGCCGTCGATCTTGCCACCGCTAGCATTTACTCCGTGCCCAGGACTGGAGCGGAGAGGGCGGAGCTCATTCGGGTCCCGCCACTCTTGGCTCCACAGCCATTCGCGGCGCAGGGGCGGGGCTTCAGGACCGCCACGTTGCGCCTGTTGCCCTCCATGATGCCCCGCCTTCATTTCTGGCCGTCCTCCCCTGCAGCCAATCGCTGAATGGTCCGCCTGGTCCAGTGGCCGCCTCTTGGCGCTGGCGGGCTAATAGCCTCCTGGCCCCTGTGCGGATTGGCCAATCAGGCGACGAGGGCGGAGCAGGGCAGGGCTGTGGCCGTAGCTGCCTCGGGGACTCGAGCGAAGCGGAGCCATGACGCGTAAGCGGGACTCCCCCCCCCCTCCCGGTCCGGTCTCGCGCCCCCTTATTACCCTCCGGTGGGTGGGGGAGGATATGGGCTGGAAGGTCCCGTTGCCTCCTTGACTTGCTCAGGGCGGGGGGAGTTCCGCCTCTGCCGCCCTTTCCCTCCGCTCGTCAAGGGTCGGCGGCCCGCAGTGGCCCCCGGGGCCCCGCCTGACCGGCCCCCGCCGCGCTTACACGTGCACTACCTTTCTCCGCGGTGCAGGGGGCAACCAGCGCGAACTGGCGCGCAGCAAGAACATGAAGAAGAACGCTGACAAGGGCAAGCGCCGCGACGACGGCCTCTCCGCCGCCGCCCGCAAGCAACGGTGAGCGCCGGGCGGGAGGGGAACAAGGTCGGGCTGGCTGTCTTTCTGGGCCGGGCCTCGAGCCCGGAGGCGGCGCCTCCTCCTTAGCATAAAAGACCTGGCCGGGACAAGAGCCAGGAACGGTTGGCTGCCTCCCCACCCTTCCTGCTTTTCCTATTTCTTCCGCCCCTGGTGGTGAGCGGTGGGCATCATCCTGTTCTCTGATAAGGAAGAGGCTTCTCGTGGCACTAGAAATAGAAGCACCTTAGGGCGGGATGAGCTTTCCGGGGCTCCTGGCATCCACTTCCTTGGATGCCCTTCTCAGTCTGCTTGTCTTTAAGGTGTCTCAAGCTGAGGCTGCCCGTCACAGGTGTCACCAGGATTTTTGTTGGGGGGGGAGGCTTTTGTTGGGAGGGTAAAGGTAAAGGTAAAGGTACCCCTGCCCGTACGGGCCAGTCTTGACAGACTCTAGGGTTGTGCGCCCATCTCACTCAAGAGGCCGAGGGCCAGCGCTGTCCGAAGACACTTCCAGGTCACGTGGCCAGCGTGACAAGCTGCATCTGGCGAGCCAGTGCAGCACACGGAACGCCGTTTACCTTCCCGCTGGTAAGCGGGCCCTATTTATCTACTTGCACCCGAAGGTGCTTTCGAACTGCTAGGTTGGCAGGCGCTGGGACCGAACAACGGGAGCGCACCCCGCCGCAGGGATTCGAACCGCCGACCTTTTGATCGGCAAGTCCTAGGCACTGAGGCTTTAACCCACAGGGGAAGCTGCCCCCCCCGTGCTACGTCCATGTGGCCAGTGCCTGTGGTTCCGCCACTGGCTATGGAGGCTCCGCCAAACTGTCCTTGCTGCTGCTCCATCCCTGCTCTTACTTTCCACTCAAATCCTTAATGTGCCTAGCCTAGCCCCTTGTCAAAGCCCTCAGAGGCCAGAGTGACAGCCCCTTCTTTCAGGCCCAATGGCTACTGAGGCAGCCCTTGCCCTACCTTTATTTGCCAGCAGCCCAGCACCTGCCCTCAAGGCCCAGGTGCCCCTTCTGGACTCAGTGGTCACAGCCTGACTGCCTTGCTTGTTTTTCTCTCCCCAGAGATTCAGAAATCATGCAGCAGAAGCAGAAGGCTGCCAAGGAGAAGAAGGAAGAGCCTCAGCAGCAGCAGCCAAAGTAGGCAAGAGCCCTGAGGGGGCCTGCCCAAGTGGTGGCTCCCTTTCCTTCTCCCTCAACCGCTCACACTCCTGCTTATAGCCACAGTGGCATTATGGAGGCCACCAGACCACCTCCTGCTGAGGCTGGAGAAGAAAGGAGGAGCCCCAGCCTGGTGGGAGCTGGCAAATGCTAGAATCGAGATACTTCATTAAAGTAGTTTTACCCATTTGTGGTGCTGAAAAAATTACTGCAGGAAATGAGATGGGCCAGGTCAGCAAGTGAGATGGAGCAATTTATCCACTGTGTGCGCCCATGTGTGTGTGTGTGTTTCTGTGGCTTGCAGCCTTGTACTGCATGGGCCTATCCTATCACCAACAGCTGGAAGCTGAGATTTGGCACAGCGTAAGGATGAGGTGCCTATGGGAGACAGTCCTGACTTGTAGCTTCATGGAAGATTTTCTTATGTTGATTTTTAAAAAGCTTGTCTACCACCTTTGGGGCATAAACAGCATTTAAACTGACGTAACAATTCATAAAAACGTCTAGACAGTCATGATTTAAAACAGGCACATCCAACAAGTAGATCGTGATCTACCGATAGATCACTGAACGTCTGAGGTAGATCACTGGACCCTCAAAAGAAGCTCAACAACTTTGGCTCCCCCCCAAAAAAATGCAACTTTCGTGCCCTGCACCCCTAAAAATGGGCCATTTTCCTTCCCAAAAAGCTCAACAACTTTGACCTGAACCCCCAAAAGGGCGGTAGATCACTGCCAGTTTTTAACTCTGTGAGTAGATCGCAGTCTTGTGGGAGTTGGTCACCCCTGATTTAAAACAACAACAACATGCTTAAAAACAATGTAGAGACCCTAAAGCTGTGAGATCAGGCCACGAGCCGATAAGCCATGCAAAGCAGGCAGACTAAGAATATAAAATGACATAAACACAGCCTTTACCCTAAAGCCCAAGAAACAGGAGAGACTTTGCCTGGTGCCTCCTCACCACACCTTTGAAAAGAAAATAGTAGAGCTGGAAAGGTTCAGAAAGAGCAGTCAAAACAATCCAGTGGTTAACAGTAAACCCTTAAGAGGCAAGGTTGCAATATTTGGGGCTTTTTCAAGATAAGCTTTTCTCCTTCTCTGTCATAATGCTAGAACCCAGCTGGGGCAAGTCAAGAAAATTACTCTTCAGGACAGGTTCAGACAAGAGTCAGTGACCAGCTCATACCAGGACTCCCATAAAAACCCAGGATTGCCTCTTTGGGTCAGGGGTCCAGTCCAGCGCCCTGTGCCCAGAGAGATGTCTGTGTAAGCTCAGATGCAGACAGGGTGTGACTGTGGTTGTCTCTCCTGTATCCCTTCTTGCCTTTTACAGCCCTCTTGCTTAGCCATGCTGGCATCCTGTGGTATAAAGTTGATCTCCTCTAGACTGTAAACCAACTTTTATTTCAGGCTTTATGTTGGTGGCTTTAAATTACCTCCAATGAAGTGATGTCACTTTCTTGAACTGGCTTTCTTAGAGCAAAGCCTTCCTCCATAAAAGGTAAAAAATCCTCCATTTTAAAATTAAATAGAGCTGAGTTCCTGGCCATATTTTGAATAGTTGCTTTTCCCATTCAGTTTGGTGCGGTGCCTGCCTTGCTCCATTGCCAGGGCACCAGTTAAGTTAAAATCGGGGCCTAGCCCATGACTGACTGTACCCAGGCCTGGTCACCTGTAGTTGCTTTCTCTGACTCTCCCTTTCTGTGGCCAGCCTCCTTCCAGGAGTTGCACAGATCCTGATTATCTCTGGGGGAGAGGGAGGTCAACCTTGTGTCTGGTCATCAGGAGGGGCCTGATCTCAGACCTGCTGCATCCCACAGGCAAAGGAGTACCTCGCGTACTGGGTTTCACAGTGCCCTCCCCAACTGACCTTGCATCACCTGTTTGCTTGACAAAGAATGGAAGAGGGATCAGGTTGGTTTCATCCCACAGAACTGGATCTTGCCCATCCAGTGGCTCCCAAAATGTGGACTCTGCCTCAGAGGCAATGGACCTTGAAGAAGAACCTGGGCGGAGGGCTGGGATTACCATGACTGCAGGGATCATAGTTTCCCCACGGAGAGACTATGCTCTGTTGGCTCTTGTCAGGTCGCCACAGCCTGTCCCAAATGCTGGCCTGGATGAGTCTGTTCTCTGATTCGCCTCCTATTGCAGTTGTCCCAAACCAGGCAGGATGCCCCAGATTTGCAAGGCAGAGCATTCCCCATCCACAACTAAGGAGGATGCTCTAACCCCTCTCCACCTGCCCTGGGTGAGATACTCTAAACAAAAGTTCCTCTCCCAGGGAAATAACCCAAGATCTCCTAACTGTCAGCAACTTGCGCAGCCTCAGTTGAGGCAATGCCACCCACACCCACAGTATGTTTGGCCATAGGAGGTCTCCCTGCTGTGCTTTGGGATAAAGAGGATGGGGGGATTTTTGGCATAAAGAGTGGCACTAGCCTCTTCTGCTGAGATGCTCTTCCCCATTCCTCCCCTGCCCCTGAGGAGCCAAGAGAAAGGAAGGCAACCAAAGTTCCAATTCAAGAGTTCTCTGGCTGTGGGACAGAGTCCTCCCAGGTGATGCTTTGTAGGAACATTTGCAGGAAGGGCCGTCATGGGCGTTTCAGACGCCAGAAGGTCCCAGGTTCAGTCGCTGATGGCCTCTCCAGGTACAACTGGGAATAGGAACCACAGGTGGAGCCAGCAGAGAGAGAAGGCTGTTCCAATGCTGGGCTCACTCCATCGTTTCCTCAGCTAAATCTTGCAAGCCCAGCCTCTACTATCCTCCCATCCCCGACACTAAAAGGTCCTGCCTAACAACAACCACCCTGGCAAGTTGGCGCATTAGTCTCAGCTACTCTGCTGTGAGTTCTAAGGCTGGGCAATTCATACGGAAGGAAAGAAGTAGCGGTGGGGGAAGCAGGTCCACAAGCAGACATTAGGATTCAGGAGAGCAGGATGGGCCCCTGAATCTATCAATGCACCCAACGGCATTACAGTTGAACAAGATTTTATTGGCAGATCAAATGCAACATCCACAATGAGCACCAGCCCTTTGGGTCTGTCTCTCCTTGTTAAGCAGCACCGCAACAGGACCCTTCTCCCCCCATTTGGCAGGATCATCCTTCCACCACCTGTACACATGGGAAGAGGTGCCACAGCAGGAGGCCCCCTCACCCCCCAACAGGTCAGATGTTGCTCATTGCCAATACCCTGCAGTGTCTGATAATGGCTGAGAACTGGGGAGAGGCGCTGTGTTCCTGTGTCTGATTCTTTGTGTGCACCCTCCTCCTTCCTCTCTCTGGAGTTCTCTGGTCCATATTAGTGGGACTTTGCCACTTGGAGCTCTGCCTCGTATTTTGTCCAGCCTCGCCACCAACACTGGGGGACGATGGATGGATGGGCATCGGCACCACCCTTATCCTCTCCTTCCATTAAAGCAACTGCCTCCTCTGAGCCCCCACTCTGCTGGCTCGTTCACATTAAAGGTACCCGCTGGGGCAAGGCATGCCGTGGCCAGAACTGAGATGTGGCATCGTGGGCGGCCTTCACATGCAGCACCCAGTGGCAGGCAGTCTTCGGACCAGGCCTGGTCTCTTGGCACCAGGTGGGTCTCTTGGCACCGGCCTTTGGTGATCGTGGCAGGCGGCTGAGCCCACGGCAGGCTGTGGCAAAAGCAAAAGAGCCTCCAGGCCCTTTTGGCAGTGGCGGCAGCAGCAGCTACGTAGCAACACTGATGCGGTGAAGGTTGCGCCGCTGACGCCGGAAGACACGCAGGGAGGTGTTGTTGCGTTGGCGTGAGCCTGGGAGGCAGAGCGGGCCCAGCAGAAGCCAGAGGTAGAGAAGGACACAGGCCCAGCCTGAAGAGACCTTAACCCAGAAGGTGGACCAGCTGCCGTGAGTGAAGGTGGTCTCTAGCACCGCATTTTCATAGCTGCAAGGAGAGCAGAGGCAGGTCGCATTGCAAGCTCCAAAGATGGCCCCCCACCTTTTGCCACGCAAGTTGCCACTCCCCCTGGATGCGGGCATCTTGTTCCTACCTGAACCAGTTGGTGAGAGTCATCATGACGTACAGCGAGGCCAAGAAGAAGACAAAGTGGAAGGTGGAGTAGCTGTAGACCACAGGGTCGCCGTGCACAATCTGCTGCTCCACTGGGGACCCTTCCTGCTCACCTCTCTGCCCTAGGCCAGGGGTGAAAAAGGGCCCTCCTGCTCACACAGCTCAGGGATCCAAAGCCCTGCTCTGCACCAATAGCTATGTCTAGTCGAATGACCAGCTATCCTGACTGTTATGGGGTTTCCCAATGTTGGGGAGTCCTGTACACATCCCCTGTCCCTTATTTGAGCATCTGGGGGAAAGATTCAGGAGAGACTGAGATGAGGCATGTCCCCAAAGATTCTTCCTCCTCCTATGCATACTTGAGATACCTGCCTTGCACCCCAACAGTGGATGGGGTTGGGGGGCACTGGAAGGCCTAAGTGGCTTGTGATGCTGCTGGGGCTCCATTGCACTCACCTGCTACCTCCTCTTCCATCTTATCAGGGCAACAAAAGAAACAGGACGCCTTCTGCAAAGAGAACAGGATGGGTCATCCACTGCTCATGCAACCTCTTGCCACCTGGCTGTGGTTTCTCTGGCTGCCCCTTAGCTCTCAATGGAAACACGCCTGGCAACTGCCAGGGTGGCACCCTCACCCAACCCTTAAGTCACGATGGTGGTCATAGGGGACCCCTGGCTCTTCAGCTCCCATCAGCCTCAGCCTGTCTTGGCCAGTAGCCCCAGGGGGTTGGGGATGGGGAGAAGAGAATGGGAATTGCAGTCCAGCAACACCTGGAAGGCCAGAGGCTCTCCATCCCCATCCTGAGGGTGGTCTGCGGAGTCCTGACTTCCCAGGAAACAAAGAGGGAGCCTAGTATCAGTTACAGAGGGTGCTGGCTTTTCCCCTCTAGCTGAAAAAGGGGGAATCCTACCCTGGTTGTATTTGGAAGTGGTAACCAGGCTAGGATTGGGCCACCCCTGCCAGTGTTTTGCAGGGGAAATCCGTGAGATATACATTGTGGGAACAAAACAGATTGTGCATTTGGACATTAGAACTTGAACACAGGCAGTATCTCAAGAAGCAGGCCTCAGACACTGAGACATTCAATAGCCTGCCTTTCTGCCCAGACACATACAGTGGTTGCAACTTGAAATGCTAAATAACAAATAAATGATAAAAGAGCAGAGAATCCTCTCAGGCAATGGAGAATTGTTTCAGGAGCTGGAGGTTAGGGGGGAAAGCATTGAAGATCAGCAGCTGCCTCTCGAGGGTTTCTGCCCCACCCTGGACCCTTTCTGGAACCCACCTTAAACTCAAAGCTGTAGATCCTGACCATCCACAGAGGTCCAAACAGCTCAGCGAGCATTGATGCTTCATTGCTGCAGGAGGAGAAGGACAAGGATGAGCAAATCAGCAGCAGGAGCCCTTCCTGAGCACAGCCCATCCTCTTCCCAGCCATTGTAGACAGGCTGACAGGATGGGATGGACAGCATGTCCTGTTTCTCTGACACAGAATCCATCCCAGTATGCCAGGGCTGCCCCAAATTACTTTGAGGAAAGAATCACTTGGTGGGCAGCCTGAGGGCATTACCCCAGAAGTCCATTGTGACCAGGGTGCAACTTGCCCACATTCTCCACCAGTTTGTTATCTTATAACAGGAATGGGTGGCAGTGCAGGTCCCTTATTCCTAGACCCCACTCTGGCAAGCTGGGGTCAATCCCTGGCTTGGGATCTGAGACCTCTGGGGGCACATAGGCAGGTACCCACCAGGCAAAGAGGACGCAGGCGTACATGACCCCAGCCCCCAGGATAGCCACCGTTGTGTCCTCAGTCTGCATCCCGTCCTTGCTCACACTGGGGAAGCAGATGGTGAGATTCTGCCCCTTGTACTGCACTGTGGGAGAGGAGGAGGAAAATGCCATTAGCTGATTGAGGGCCTGCCTCACCCCCGTGGATCTCCCCAGAAGGCAAAGGCTCAGAGCTGACACAGACCTTTCTCTGGTGGCCGGCTGGACAGGGCGGAGAAGGTCAGGTACATGACGTAGCAGCAGATGATGGAGGCCTGTAAGGGGCTGGAGCTTGGCTGTCCTGGGAGCAGGCAGGTGTAAGGGGAATAAAGGGTTATCAGTGTCCTCAAAAAACACCCCCATCCCAGCAATAAAGAGTGAAAATGCAGTCTTGTGTCTATTGGCCCAGAGTCATTGGTCTACTTGTGTGTACATGATTCCTGATGCTCCCTCACTGCCAGAAGCTGTAGTTAGGGTGTGCTTTAGGAGGCAAAGTATATAAGCCGCCTCCTGACCCTTCCAGTTGCTGGAAACATCACAGGCCTCTGGCTCTCTGACCCCCATCCTTGCTGAGCTCCCTGTGACAGGGTCACAGGGTTGTCTCATGACCTTGTTTCTGAATCACCTTCTGCACCTGGACCTATTCTTTCTGCTTCACCTTGTTGTGTACCTAGAAGCCTAGTCTCTTAGGTGAGTATTTGATAAAATTATTTACCCTCCTAGCACCCATCCCTCTAAGGAAACCACCTAGAACTTAACATCCTTGGGAGAGGAACTTCCAGAGAGAAGAGGGCACTGGTTCAGTGCTTCTTGTTTGGGCAATTAAGTCCTGAGAGTGCTCTACGCTTTGCTTGTTGCAGGCCACAGAAGGCTATGCAGCCCCTGCCCCTCCAATCCCACCCTGTGCTGCAAAATCCACACATGCCATTACTCACGCAGGCGGACGCAGGGGGTGATGGAGATGAAGGACATGAGGAGGCACAGGGCACCGTTGAAGGCCAGCAGCCCCTTGTTGAGGAAACAACCGCCTGGGTGGGTGTAGAATTTGTACAGGAAAGTGTAAGCGGTGGAGGCTATGGTGTAGAAGCCCAGTGTGGCCAGGAAGATAGCCAGGTACCAGCGCTTGTCCGTGGAGGCGCCTGTCAGCCTGTGAGAGAATGAGGGAAAAGCTTGTTTGGAGCACTGACCTGAGGCCAGCTCCCTCCCTTCTCCAACCCCCTTGTGGGCACTTGGTCCAGGAAAGTGCCCCAACCCATTCCATCCAGAAGGCAGACTCACCAGTTCTTGTTCCAGGTGTGGGCAAAGGCTGTGATCAGCACCAGCTGGACCAGGATGAAGGCAAAGCCTCCGCAGACACCAACCAAGTGCCAGGCTGCAAGGGCCAAAGGAGGACAGAAATGTGGGCGGTGGTCAGGGAGACCAAAGAAGCCAAGTGCCACCTCTGGCTGTCCTGCCAGGCTCTTTCCCTCTGGAAAGCCAGCTCAGCTCTGGCCAGGAAAGGCAGGAAAAAGGCTCTTCGAGCTTAGATCCCTCAAAGAGAAGCCTTTTTTGGCTGAGAAGCAGGATGATGGGAGCAAGAGCCTGCTCAATCAGGCCAATGAGGGCCCATCTAGTCTAGCATCCCCTTCTCATGGTGGCCAACAAGATGCTTCAATGGGAAACCAGCTAGCAGGATTTGAGCACCTGAGCTCCCTTTCCTTCTGTGCTTTCCAGGAATTGGTATTCAGAAGCACAGCTGCCTCCATGAATTTGTCTAATCTTTTAAAGCAATCTTTCAAAGCTGGTGGCCATCACCGCCTCCTATGGGTCCCCTCAGAGGATTATCAGTAAGGAAGTAAGCCCCGCCAGAGGGAGGGATGCTGATTCTGACAGAAACAGAAAAGGATGAGGGAATGGCTCCATTTTGCCTGTTCAGAAATCTGTCAAGCAAAAAGGGTCCATATATGTTCCACTTGCTGTTTTCAAGTCTGCAGATGACAATGAATGATAAGTGTTTCTTTCTTTCCTTACATTCTTTTGATATTTCTTTTACCTTGAAATGTAAGTTACCCAAACAGTTATTCACGTTACATAATTTTAACCTACATCAAACAGCAGGCAGCAAGACAAATTACGTCGTATTTGGTGGAAACTGAACTGCAGCAGAATGGAAACGAGGCTGCTGAAGAAGGGAAATGGCTGCCTCCCTCCATTCCTACCTGGAGGGCTGTCCCTTACAGTGATGAGGGGTGGGGCTCTTGGCAAGAGCAAGTTGCAGAGCCACCAGCCTGATCCAGCAGCCAAGTGGGCTGGTCTTCTATTCTCCTTACCTCGGAGGAAGCGCTGGTCTTGGATGAAGAAGGCGGCTGCGCAGAGCCCCACAAGGATGAGGAGCTTCAGGAACCAGAACCTGCAACAGACCCCAAAGAGGCGGTGAATAACCAGGGTGGCCCCTGGATGGATGGGCCTGTGGCTTCCTCTGCCTGCTCCTCCGTAACAGCCCAGGGGCTGCCAGGTCTGTGTCAGGACCTCCCTTCTCCTCACCCATTGTGCAAGAGGGCGCGGACGTTGCTGCTGGACTTGATGTTGACCAAGAAGGCTGCCTGGCCCAGGTAGAAGCAGGCGGTGCCAAAGCAGACCCTGTAGACGGCTGAGTAGCCCACCAGGATGTCGCAGTCACTGCCCCCAGGAAGGTGTTCACACAGCACTGCGTAGAAAGGCACCTGTGGGAGGAAGGGAGAGAGACCCGGGGTGGGGGGAAGCATTGCCAGAACTTCCACACTGGAACCCTTGATTGATTGATTGCATTTATATCCCACTTTGTGCCACTCCAAGGAGCTCAAGGCAGCATGCATGGCTATTTCCCATTTCATTTAATCCCCACAAAAACCCTGTGAGGGAAGATAGGCTGAGATGTAGGGACTGGCCCCCCAAATCACACCCAGTGAGCTTCATGGCCAAGTAGGGATTCGAACCCTTGTATTCCTGGTCCGAGTCCAACATGCTAACCATTGTGCCACTATTTAAAAGGTAAAGGGACCCCTGACCATTAAGTCCAGTCGTGACCGACTCTGGGGTTGCAGTGCTCATCTCGCTTTATTGGCCGAGGGAGCCGGCGTACAGCTTCCGGGTCATGTGGCCAGCATGACTAAGCTGCTTCTGGCGAACCAGAGCAAGTCCTAGGCTCTGTGGTTTAACCCACAGCGCCACCCGCGTCCCTGTGCTACTATTTAGTGTGGAATTAAAATGTTTGCTTTGCAGAGCCCACCCTCTGCTTTCTTCTCTTTTTAAATAGAACTAGAGTAATAGCATTTTAAAAAGGGAAGTGAATTAATAAGAGGAAGCTGGTCATTCGAGCCCCTCCCTGCCACTTGGAGGAGATTATTTTCTCAGAATAGTGGCCAGTTGTCCTCCCCACCCCACCCCTGCCCCAATGAGCCTCCAGGTGCAGGTGGAGGAGGCTCCCAATGGCGGTGGCAGTGGCTTCTCACTCACTCACGTTCTCCTTGATGGCTTCGGCCACAGTGCGGGAGAGCATGAAGCAGCAGCTGGCACAAGCCAGGATGTGGAAGAGCATGTAGAGGAGCCGGGTCCCCGTCGAGACCTTGATGCCGGGGCAGCAGGGGCAGCACAAGGTGCAAGGGGCTGGGCCGCAGCAGCAGCAAATCTGAGCAGGGCAGAGGGAAGTTGAGTGTTACCTACTTAGGCCCTCTCTACATGTCCAGCAACCCTCTGCCTCCCTGCCCACAATGAGCTGGACTCCCTGCCTCTTCCATCTCACTAGACCCTTCACCCCAAGCCTCTGCCAGCAGAAAGCAGCTAGGGTCTGTTGCCTGCATTGGTGAGGGGCTGGGCAGCCGGGTTGTCCTGGGTCAGTCCCTAGGCTTGGCCCACCCACAAGGCTGTCCCTGAGCAGGTCCTTGAGCAGTGAGTGAGGGGCACAGCCTGCAGGAGGTGGGATTAAGGGGATTGGGAAGCTCAGGTGCCATCTGCTGCTGCTGGAGGGGGGCAGGCGTCACATTCAGGGTCCAACGTGCTTCCACCAACACATCAGTCTCTGGTTCAGCCAGACAAAATATGCAAAACAAGCAACCCAGCTCTTGGGGCCAGCTGTGGGTCAAGAACTGGCAGTGACACAGAATTTCTAAGATGGTGTTTTAGTTCTTAATGGTAATTTCTTTTTGCTGTTCTTTACTGTACTTTAGAGCAGCTCCTCTTATGAAACAGCTATGCAACTGAAGTTAATAAATAAAACAATTCATGCATGGTTTCTCCCTTGTGGGAAAACCAGCCGTGGGTTGCAATGTTTCTGTGCCCTCAGCGGGTTTTGTGCCACCCATCCTGAGACTGTGGAACACACAATAGGTTAGAAAGGGAGGGCACATTCCTGTCACTGAGACGTGCCAGCTGAGCAGTCTGCTATGGAAGTAGCATAATAGGCACCGATCTGTGAGCAGAGATGGGCTTTCCAGGCTGACTCCACAGGCTTCCCTGTAATCTGGAGTTCACGTGTGCCCAGGAGGATTGCTCTGGCACTGTCAATAAGTCCAATTGACAGTGCAATACTTTAAAGGTAAATCTCAGTGAGCACATACAGGAAGATGAGTTTGTATACCAAGCAGGGATCACTGCCGAATGGCACACTTTAAGACCAGGAAGGGCTGTGGCTCAATGGCAGAGCATCTGCTTGGCATGTAGAAGGTTCCAGGTTCAATCTCAAGCCCCTTCTCCAGGTATGACTGGGAAGGCCCCTGAATGAAGACTGGAGAGCTATTGCTGCCAGCTGGATAGTCTGATTCAGTAGATGATGGCTCCTGACACTCCTAAGGCTCATTGTTTTAACTTGCTTGCATTGCCTTATTATCACTCTGCAGGACACCTTTGGATGCCAACAACCTTCTCATTAGCCCACTTTCCAAAGACTCCAAAGCTCCTGCGTCACTGAGTTCTCTGTCTGCTGCTTCCAACCAGTTTTGCAGCTGTTGCATTTCTTCTTCTTTCTCTGGGTCTAGCACAGCAACACCTGGATCCCATAAGGCAATGGCCCCAAAGAGGAGCCAGCCAAAGCCACCCACCCACCCCTAGCTCTGCACCTGAGCATCCTGCCCAGCTGTGTTCTCAGAGTCCATCTGACCATCAATAACCCTAGAGAGGGATTAGAGTCACTCCTAATTGACACAGGCACAGCATCCACCCCCTCCTCCCACCTGAGCTGGGCAGAGCCCCTCCCATGATCTGCAGTTGGGCCAATGAAGTTAGGGGTGCATTGCAAGGTGGGGGACCACCTTTGCTAGTTGGCCACATTTTGGCCTGCCTCAGGAAGCTCCTTGAACACCTCTCACCGTCCTTGGTCAAGAAGCACATCTGGGAAAGAGTTGGAATGTGTTCCTCAACCCAGCTGGGAAATCACCTCAAGATGGGGAGCTTAATTCTCCGTGTGCTCAGAGCCAGGGGCTGCCCATCAGCTTAAGGAGATTTTATGGAGAGGACCCCTCCAGGCACCAACCAGCATCTTAGAGAAACACCCCCTTGGATTCCTGTTAGAAGAGAGGCAGGGGCACCACACCTAGAGGGAAATTGGCACTCTGCTTCCTAGAAGCTACTCTACACAAAGAAGGTGCTCATGTCCCATTCCTGGGCAGCTAACAACCGACAAGAAGCACCCAGGACTGTCTCTGGCCTTGATATTGTGACTGCAAAAGGAATCAAGACAGCCCCTATGAGGAAGGGATAGTAGATACCTGGAAGGGGTATGTCCAAAGAGCATGTCAGAGGAGAAAAGTGTACCAGTTTAGAAAACGGATGGATGAGTGGGTGAATCCTGAGCTTCTGGAGGCAAGAGCTGGCACCAGGTTATGGGGTAGCATCCCTATGGAGGCTCCTTCCAGGCAGGAATTCTTTGTGGAAAACAATGCTGCTCAGGCATGCAAGCTTTCTGCATTGTCTATACAACATCACTGCCATCAAAATCCCAGCCCACATTTTTTAAATTTACATTTAATCCGGATTTCCCCTTCCTCTGGGAAATCCGATAAGTAGAAACAACCTGTTAAACATCCGCTGTCACTGTCTGGTGTAGAAATTTCTTGGCACAGAGTAGTTGTGGGTTGTTTGTTTTTGAGGGGTGGGGAGGGGTAGTTTGTCATGTGTGTAGTGTTGACTGAAGTTTTGGTGGGTGGCCTCTATCACACACATAAACCCTGCATTCGTCAGCTCCTCTCCAGAGCACAAGTTAAGCTATTTTGTTCCAGATACACCAGTAAGAGACAGAAGATGTTCATTCCCAGTAATGACTACAATGCTGAAGGTGCATTTGAATTTCAGTGGCCTGATGAGAGGAAGTTGTGATATCAAGTCATTGTGGGGAATTACCTCTTCAGACTGTAATCACAGTACATACACCAGACTTTCTCTTTTAAAAAGTTTAATCTGAATTTCATGCACAAAACCTCCTCCTTAGAACTTCAGTCTTGGCACCTTTTATTATATGTGGTGGAATTGTAAAAAGATAAAGGAATTCTAGGAGATGATATATAATGAATTTTAAATTTTTGTAAAACCAATAAAATTATTTTTTTAAAAAATAACTTCAGTCTTTCATTGATGTTGCACTTTGGGAGGGGTGGGGGGAGAGACTGCATAGCTGTGCTGTTAACGGTTACAAGGGTGCAGTGGCGTAGTGTGGGGGGTGCAGGGGGGGCCGGCCGCACCGGGCGCAACATCTGGGGTTAGGGCAAATCCATTGGTTAGGGGGCGCAAATCCACGGGTTAGGGGGCGCAAATTACTTGCCTTGCCCGGGTGCTGACAACCCACGCTACGCCACTGCAAGGGCGTATAGATAAGATTAGCCATATTTTTAAAAAATATTGCTACTTGGTCCCAGCCACACAAAACCAAACAGCAGATCAATATAGCACTTCCCCAAGTATAAAAAAAAGAATCAAGAGATATCGCTCCCCCTTCTGCCAACAGGCCTCCATTTTGTGCCTTGTGAAACATGACAACTAACTGGATTAGCCAAGTTTGCCCTCTTGCCTTCTTCTCATAGCTGTCAACTTTCAGATTTGAAAATAAGGATCAGCAGCCTCACCTGTCCCGGGGACAGTCTACGGGATATCTAACAATCCGGGATAGCAGTGGGCAACGGCGCTGGAATAAGGGAATTTCTCGCAAAAAAAGGGAATGTTGACAGCTATGCCTCCTTCTGTGCTGCCAGCGATGCAGAGGAGGGGCAAAAAAGCCACCAACTGAATTAATTCTGCCAGGCTCCACCCTCTGATGTGGATGGCAAGCAGGGTAACAGTGAAAATCCACGGTTGAATAAACAAGATGTGTGGAAGGCCACGTGCCAATTGCATGCATCTGAAAACCAGCCCTGCAGGACCCGTTTGCAACAGAAAACCCCTTCTGGAAGTCCCCCTGAGCACTGGGGAACAGTGCTGGACAGACTGTGTGAACAAGGCAAGAAGGGTGACCCAACCCCCTCCCCCCGGCCACACATGCATCATCCCAAGAACCCTCTGCATGTGTGTTTTTTCTACATTCTCGTCAGTCCAATTATCTTTCATTTAGTTGTGTTGATTGTCAAGGCTGAGGCTCACAAGCCTTTATCCTCTGAACCTCCGTGGGAGGCCTGATCCTTCCCTGGTCCTGTAGCTGAGGGCAAGGGCCAAGTGGGCTGCTGGGCAAATGGCCAGCTTGCTTTCCCCAACATTGGCCATGGCTAGAGGCTTTCTCACTTGAGGGGAGGTTGCTGGGACTCTGGCCTGAGCTTGGGCCTTGCAGGCACAGCAGAAGGGCCATTGTGGCTCAGTGGCAGAGCACATGCTTGGCATGCAGAAGGTCCTTGGTTTGATACGCATGGCATCTCCAGGAAAGGCTAGGAATGCCCCCTGTCTGATACCCTGGTGAGGTGCTGCCAGTCAGTGTGGCCCAGGGGTAGAAGCAGCAGCTCGTGTTCAAGCTGGCATCGCCTGTTCTAGCTGTTCCCTCCCTTGGGGGCCTCTTGTGACAGGCCTTGGCCAAACCCCAGAGCTGACAAGTCTTGAAGCCTCCCCTCTGCTTACCTGGGCCTTGCAGTAGCCTGGCACCATCCCTCCTCCTCTGTTCCCGGTGCCCCCAGCTCCCCAAGGGAACGGCTGGACGTCCTGCCCTCGTCCCCCAGTCATCTGCTCCTGGCTCCGTGGGCCCAGCCCTTTGCTCAGCAGCGCATCCCTGGGACCAGGTGGAGCCTGCTCTCCAGAAAGCGGTTGCAAAGAGAAAGCCAATTAGCTGAGAGGCTGAGATTGGCCAACTGGCAACCCGCTGCCTCCACCTTTGATCCTTGGGACCAGCGATTGGCCTTCCTGGGGTGGGGGGATGGTGCTCCTTTCCCCTCCACTTGCCTTTCTGCCTGATTATGTCAGGAGCCAAATCTGCCTCTTTAACCCTCTTACCCGGCAGAAATAGAGAGCTTAGCCGTTCCGTTGGGTTAGGTGAATCTCAGGCTGTTGTTGCAAGATGGAAGGGACAGGAGCCTTCTCACCTCAGGTCCCCCCAGGGAGCAAAGTAGCAGCCACAGAAGCTCCCTCGCCAGGGCCTTGCCTGGCAAGGGAGCCTCTGTTAACCTGCTCCAAGGGCAGGGAGGGTGGCAGGCAGGCAGAGGACTCCACCAGCCTTCAGCCATGCAGGACTACTGGCCTCTTTTGGCTGCCAGAGACTGGGCAGGGCTTCCATCAGGGAACTAAAACTGATCTGGCCATAGCGGCGCACACTTTAGTTGCATCCCTGTGTGGATTACTGTTAACATACTCTGCGTTGGGCTGCCTTTGAAAGTGCCCAGAAACTTCAACTGGTCCAAAAAGGTGAAGCTAGACCATGGGTAGGCAAACTAAGGCCCAGGGGCCAGATCTGGCCAATCGCCTTCTAAATCTGGCCCGCAAACGGTCTGGGAATCAGCCGGTTTTACTTAGTAGAATGTGTCCTTTTATTTAAAATGCAACTCTGGGTTATTTGTGGGGCCTGCCTGGTGTTTTTACATGAGTAGAATGCGTGCTTTTATTTAAAATGCATCTGTGGGTTATTTGTGGAGCATAGAAATTCGTTCATTTCCCCCCCAAAAATATAGTCTGGTCCCCCACAAGGTCTGAGGGACAGTGGACTGGCCCCCTGCTGAAAAGGTTTGCTGACCCCTGATAGACTGTTGACTGGGGCAGGTTATAGGAACCATATGACACCCTTGTTGCAACAGCTCCGCTGGTTACCAGTTTGTTTCCAGGTACAATTCAAAGTGTTGGTTGTGACCAATAAAGCCCTATCTGAAAGACCATATTCTTCCATATAAACCTGCCTGCGCTCCGAGATCTTCAGGGGAGACCCTTCTCTCAGTCCTGCCAACCTCACAGGCATGCTTTGTGGCAACACAGAGCCTTCTTGATGGCTGCTCCCATGAACTTCCTAGAGAAGCTAGAATGGCTCCCACCTTGTCCACTGCCAGCAGATGAAGACTGTTTTATTCCAACAGGCCTTGGGGAACTGACTTGTTTTGTGGGGGTTTTGAAGGAAAGGTCTTTTAATACCACTGTTTATTTTTACTGTTTTTATTAATAGCTTTATTCTTTATATTGTTTTACTTCTATTGGAGTTTAGTTGCTTTTTAATGATGATCATAGAATGGTAGAATTGGAAGGGACCATGAGAATTATATTGACCAAACCCCTGCAATGCAGGAATATGCAGCTGTCCCATACAAGGATCAAACCTGCAACCTTGGCATTATCCGCACCAAACTCTAACCAACTAAGCAATCAGGGCGTATATGTTTTTAGCTTTCTGTATTTTATCTGTGTTGCATTAATTTGTGCAAGTCACCTTGAATCCTGGTCGGGGGCAAATGCTGAATATAAATAAACATAATAATTAATGATATGAACAACTCTAAAGCAACAAACAGGTTTGGGTCACCTTGAAGACAAACAGGTGAGAACCTGACATTTGGGGATTTGCCAGATGTCTAATCCCTGCGAAACAAGGTGGGAAGGCCACAAGAATGACAATTGCTCTGCCATCCTGCTTATCCAGTCCTAGAGAATGATTTCCATACCCTAGCTGTTGCAAGGAAGTGTGGGTGGGTATCTGACTCCCAGGGCCGTTTTTAGCAGATGCGGCGCTGGGGTGCAAATATCCGCCCAGCGCTCCCCAAATTACCACGGATAGTGTTGGGGTGGCTGTAGCTGCGCAATGCCAGCCATCCCGGGGGGGGGGGGGGCACAACTCTCCCCCAAGCCGCTGCGGAAGAGCGATCCTCACAGAGGCTTGGGAGGGAAGTTGCGCCCCTCTCAAGCCTCCGCGGGAGGAGAGCGCAGCTTCCCTCCCAAGCCTCCTCGCGAGGAGAGCAATCCCCACAGAGGCTTGGGACGCTTGGGAGGAAAGCAGCACCCCCGCCAGCCTTATGGTTGCTGGGGCGCAGCTGGTGGGCATGCAGGGAGAGGGGAGGCCGCCTGCAAAGCCGTGCAGCTCTCCCACTTGCTGGGGTGCCCCTGAGAGGCCAGCGCCCTGGCGCGATGCGCCACTAAGCCTTATGGGAAAGACGGCTCTGTGCCCTCTGTGCCCTTCCTGTGCCCTCCCCATCGATCCCCAGGTCCACTGAAAGGCTCAGCCTGCTTTCCCCTGGGATCTGTCCTCACCCAGCCACTGCCACACCCTCTCATCTTTCCTTCCCCATGAACTGCCTCATCTCTGAGCTCTCTGCTATGGCATAATAATTCCCTCCGCCTAACAAACACCGCCTCTCCTGTGACATTAGGCACATCCCACCTTATCCACACTCTGCCTCTTATTCTTTCCAGGCCTGTTGTCCTGTGAAGAAAGCAGATAGATATTTTCTCCCTCTCTCATAATACTAAAAGCTCACTGGGGCCCGTCCAATGGAACTGGATGGTGGGAGATTCAGGAGAGACAAAGAGAAGCACTTCACACCGAGGAGAGTTTAACGACGATATTTGCTACCACAATATATGATGACCACCAATGTGGATAGCTTTAAAATAAAATTATTAGATAAATTAAAGAGGGAAAAAGCTACCAATGGCCACTAGCCACAATAGTTGTGTTCTACCTGTACTCTCTTATATGCCTCTGAATGCCAGTTCATAGGAATCACGAGTGCGGAGCATGCTGTTATTGCACTCTGGCCCTGTTTGTAGGCTTCCTATAGGGACATCTGGTTGGTCACTGTGAGAACAGGATTCTAGACTAGATGGACTTTCAGTCCACATCCACAAGAAGTCCACCATTTGTACTTTTCTGCTTTTCCTTTTGACCTCACGGTTTACAATTCCACCCACATGCTTGCCCTTCCAGGATAACTCAGGACAACACTGATGACATGACCTGTAGCTCCACAAAGGTTTATATTGGTTAATTTTTAAGGTGGCACAAGACGCTTTGTTGCTTTTTCTTAAAGTTGTGTTTGACAGTCGCTGGGAGTTTATCTCCATGCCTGCCGCCTGCCATAACTGGTGTATAGAAATAGCTGTCCCTAACATTTAGACTGATGCAGGTTGTTCAGTTTCAGGGTTGAAGGCTGACTGTTCCTTTTGGGGCCCCTGGACAAAAACGTGAGCAGCAATACAAAAATTCAGGCTTTTATCATAGCTGGGACTGGGCAGCAATGTTTGTGTCCCCTTCCCAGAAAATGGAGGCTTGTCTGCTCTTTCAGTCTTGTTTCCAGTAAATGGGGTGCTGTTTATTTTAGCTTTAGTTTGTAAGCATCTAAAAGTGACTGTCCATTGGATGAATAGCATACAGTTGGCTTCTGGATTTGGGCTGCGAGGAGGAGGGTCAATGAACTAGCTTGACCTATCCTCCAATATCAGGGGATATTGGGGGTGGGGTGGGGAAACAAGGTGCAAAGGGGGAAGTGGTTAGTAATGCAGTGCTCAAAGAAAGCATGTGTTTGTTTAAGGAGACAAAGTCAGAGAAGATTTGCAAACATGATCCCAGGGGAGCCAGGGGTGAAGGCTTTCTCTCCTCTAGCTCTCTTTTGCTATCAAAATGACTCTCACAGTTGCTTTCTCTTTGCAAGATAAAATATAGGAAGTGGGAAGGATTTTGTTGCAAAAATGTGGGAACAGTGATTCACCTCTTCCCTCAGGGCCATTCCAGTCGCTCAATCCACATTTTATTTAAATAAAACCTGCCAAGAGACTGAATACTAATAATAAAATGAACTAATAATTCTGAGCTACCTTGCAGGGTTGTTGTTCAATACCTTCAATCTGCCTCCATCTCTAATGTGCAGCATACATTGCAGTAGTCTACACTGCAGGAATGTCATTCAGTAGCTTTCTCAGCCACGGTTCCCCACACAATAAAGAGACAATGGGCTGCATTGACATGGTACTTTTTAGTGTTTGAAAATCTTTTAAAAGCCACATTTTTCCTATGAGAACTCTCAAGGAGTAGAGCCCTTTGCTTTTGTTGCTCTCGTTCTGTTTTCTGTCCTCCGCCCACCACGCCTATTTATAACTGCTAGGTTTCTATACGTAGTGCTTTCTCTGAACAGCTATTGGGGTGGGGGCAAGAAGGTCAAAAGGAACCTGGAAGCTCCACCTGCATATGTTTGGCTCGCCAGTCTACATTCCACCCTCTATGGTGGCGCATCGGCGCTCTAGGCTCTTGCGCTGAGCTCTATATTAGTGCCGCGTTCTCCTTTTCCCGCTACTTCCGGAAGCGCGCCTTACCACGTGACGAGCGCGGAAGGCAGACGGAGCGATGGCGGCTGAAGGGGATGTCGAGCTGGAGTTAGAAGCGGAGCCCAATGGCTCGGCAGGCAGCGGAGAGCGACCAGCCGAGAAGCCGCGGAAGCACGACAGCGGAGCGGCCGACCTCGAGCGCGTCACGGACTACGCGGAGGAGAAAGAGATCCAGAGCTCCAACTTGGAAACGGTGATGAGCGCATGCGTTTGGCCGCGTTGGGGGGCTCTGGTTGTCATGGTGACCGCGGGCGGGGCGGAGCCGGTTGGACTGGACCGCTGCCGAAGCGCCCCTTGGAGCCCCAGCGCCGTACGTGGGAACGGGGAACCCTGCATGTGTGGAGGCTGCCCGAGGCCCCTGCAAGCATGGCTGGACCGCCCGTGTGAAGCATCGCCTGCCCTGCCACCTTGTTGCTATTTCTCTCTTACTGCCGGCTTGGGGACTTTTGCTTGCGGTGTCCTTTGTCTTTGGGGCTGGAACTATTTGGCCTTCCCGAGGTGCTCTGGGTGGGCGCCCATTGTTTCGCCTCCTCAGACAGCAAAACGCCTCATGCCAGTCTTGTGCGGGCCTTTCCTTCCATCGCATCTGTAAGAGGGCATGGCAGTTTTCTGGCAGGTTCAGATCCACCCGATGTCATATGGCATCAGGTGCTTGACAGGTAGGCAGACCCTGGGGTATGTGTGGCCTGTCACTTGAGCCTGCCCAAGGTTTAAGACAAGAGACTCCCCGCCCCAGTTGTTCAGTTGGATGCCCTTGCCAGCAGGTTTACAGTCTAAGAGGCACATTGCAAATAGGAATAAAATTAAGCAAGAAGACAAGTAGGCACCAATACTACATAGTAGTACTCATAATGATCAGCTGGGATAGAGAGAAAGAGGTAAATGGCACTGGTCTCTTACCAGAGAGGATGGAACGGCCTTACTTCCTGCATCTGCCATGAGGCAGCTGCCATTCTATCAGGCTGTTGCAAAAAGAAACAAGGAGAAACTCTTGTGCTTCCTGATGGTGGCACCACAGCTGTGAAATTCTCTGCCTAGGGAGATCCACACCCTTTCCCTTAACGTTCTCAAGGATAGTCATTTTAATCTGGAAGGACTTTTGGATTTGATCCCTGCTGTTCTGAAGTTTCTTTTGCTTGTTTCAGTGCTGTTGTTTTTTATACTTCTCACACTATTTTTAATTGGTATTTTGTTGTACTACTTGTAAGCTGGTTTGAAAAATATTTTAATATAAATTATTAAAAGTAGCCCTCTTGTGCTTTATTTGTGAATCAGTACTTGTGACTGCCTTTTCACAGTACTTGTGTGTAAAAGGAATTGATGCATCAGCAAATTATTATCTGAACCATCTGGTTCAACCCCTTTCCCTAACATTCCTTGCAGTCAACAATAAAAAAATACAATTCAGATTTGCATTGTAGATTACCCACATTGTCTAGGTGTAGAAATTTATCCCACAGGGAACTTTTGCATAACCATGAGAATTGTGTTTTTTCAGGTGCACATTGAGCTTAGAAACTCCCTGCACCAATTTCTCTTTACATACCTCAGCAGCAGCAGTTCAGTGATCAGGAGCACAAGGTGTTTTCAGTGACAGGAAGCCTAATTTTCAGGGTAGTTCACAGCCAGACTTCTACCCAAAAGTGTATCCTTGTCAACTGACATGGACTGAATCTCATCCATTCTGTTGGACATCCACCCAATTAGAAGAGAATAGATTGGAGTTTTCATAGACTGCTTGATTTTGACTACCTAGAATTATTTGGGCTCCATCATCTAGGGCTGGGAGAAATCAGCTTTTCAATATCGCAATGTATCACCAACCAAACATTGATATACTGCCAGGTGAAGGCGCAATTGCACTCTGGCCCTCAAACCAATCCCAGGCAATGTATTGATACATCATCCAGGCCTACTGTCACCTCAGTTAAGTGTACTCAATTAAGTAAACTGTATACTTCATTGCCATTTGACTACACTTTTTGAATTTCACTGCCATCTGGTTGTTTTTTCTGTATACTTGTGTTACATAAAAGCACATACTGTGAGATAATTTGGTTGCTCTTTAAGGTACAAGATTTTGGTCTGGCTATTAATAGAGTGGTACCTTGGGTTAAATACTTAATTTGTTCCGGAGGTCTGTACTTAACCTGAAACTGTTCTTAACCTGAAGCACCACTTTAGCTAATGGGGCCTCCCACTGCTGCCATAGCACCATTTCTGTTCTCATCCTGAAGCAAAGTTATTAACCCGAGGTACTATTTCTAGGTTAGCAGAGTCTGTAACCTGAAGTGTATGTAACCCGAGGTACCACTGTATTAAAGTCAAAGGGCGTGTGTTTAATTTGCTTTCTTTTGTTTAGGCGATGTCAGTGATTGGAGACCGAAGATCCAGAGAGCAGAAAGCAAAGCAGGAGCGGTGAGTGCCCTGTTTACCGTCTTTTTCTCTCTATTACACACAGATTTTTTCTCCTAAAAAGGAAGGGGAAATGTCTGTGCGTGTTATTGAGCGAATGTGGGGGGTCCCTGGAGCCGATTAGGGGAGCGCAGGAACAAAAATCAGCAAAAATCAAATCGTGCGTTGAGTCGGAGAGGGAAACCTGAAAAGAGGAAGTTGCTGCTTTCCTGCATTTTGCCTCAGGGTCTTACTGCCCACTCGCTTGTGTTTCATTGCTGTGTCTGCTCAAACGGAAGAGCAGGCAAATCCCCTCCCCTCCAGGCAAGCAGAGAGGAAAGCAGAGGTCTTTCCTTCTAATTCCTCTCCGTGCTCCTCGCAGGCAGCCAGAAAACATGCAGGAGAGAGAGAGCTGGCTTCGGTTTGGGGAAACTTTTGCCTTTCTTTCCTCCCTCCCGTTAAATCCCTCTCCTGCATTCTTAGCCAGCTGCTTCTCTGCACACCGCTCTCGTGCTCCTTGTCCCTTCTGTGTTTTTCCTTCCTTCCCCACTTAAAATGTAGTTACAAAGCATGGATCCACATGGATCCTCAGGATCTTTGGATTGGGCCACCCCAAATTCACCATCAGATCACATAGCAGCCTGCCCCCCAAAAATCACACACCCACTGTTGCCTAGGGCTGCAATGGTGCAAAAATGTGGTTAAAAAGCATGGATCCACATGGATCCTCAGGATCTTTGGATTGGGCCACCCCAAATTCACCATCAGATCACATAGCAGCCTGCCCCCCCAAAATCACACACCCACTGTTGCCTGGGGCTGCAATGGTGCAAAAACGTGGTTAAAAAGCATGGATCCACATGGATCCTCAGGATCTTTGCATTGAGCTACCCCAAATTCACCATCAGATCACATGTCTGTGGCCACAGCATGAAGCACAAAAATGATACATCCACTGTTTCATTCAGAATTTTTTTCCTTGTTTTCCTCCTCTAAAAACGATGTGCGTGTTATGGTCAGGTGCGTGTTATAGAGCGAAAAATACGGTACATCTCCTGCTAAGGGAGAGCAGCCTTGTTTGCTTGTACCAGAGCTGTAGAGGTGACACACAATGTGTAAAAAAAATGCAGTGCCAGATGTGCATGCATACTATTAAGTGGCAATGGTGAGGTGGTCCCAGGATTTTGGCCATTCAATAACCATGGCCCAATGGGAAAATTTATGGAATATCAATTGGAAATTCACAAATTGTTACACGATTAGAGAGAACTTTCAAAAAATGCAACATTGATGGTATCTAACACCATGGAAACTTTCAAAAATGTATAAAAATGTGTCAAGTAATTGTTGGAGATGTGGGGACTCAGGAACATTCTACCATATGTAGGAAAATACAGGTATTCTGGGAGAATATCCATGCAGAACTGCAAAAAATGCTAAAGATCTCTTTCAATAAAAAACCAGAGGCCTACCTCCTGGGAATAACAGATTTGGATATTCCACAAAAGAGGAAGGGTATCTTTTTATATGTGATGGCGGCAGCAAGAGTTTTGATCGTAGCAAAATGGAAGAGTAATGAAATCCCCTCTATACAAGATTGGATTCAAAAGCTAACAGAATATGCCGAATTAGATGGTTTATCAGAAAAAATAAAGAATAAATCAAAACAGGAATTTGTTTCAAAATGGGAGGTTTTCAAAGAATATCTGGAAAATATAGTAGTTTAAATTCTGTTGCAGCATTCGAGGAACTTCAGTAATAGTTGCAAGGTAGATATAAGAAATTAGATTTATTAAGAATAAGTTTAATTATGATAAAAATGTCTATTGGCAATAAGTAATATGAATTTGAAATATGGAATAGACGGGAGATTGGGTCTTTAGTGTTAAGACCAATAGATGTTTTATTGTTTCTTAAGAAAATTATGTGTCTATGGTTATTCTTGTGTGTAATTTTGTATTTGTGGTTTGTTTGTTTTTCTTGTTGTATCAATAAAAAACTTTATTTAAAAAAAATGCAGTGCCAGATGTGCATGCATACTATTATTGCCAATTTATTTATTATCAACCCTTCACCTGAAGTTCCTAGGGTGGGTTACAGCACTAAAACATTAAAAGCCATGACCAAGCTTGGAGGGAGCAGTGTCTTTATAAACATCATACCACAGTGGAATGGTGTCTACATGCTAAACTGCTGTTTAAGGACACATTTCCATATTCTAAAACTGTTTAGGAGTTAGACTTGTTTTGCTGCACTTGACATTAATGGGGGAGCTGCTTCACACCAGTGAAGTGGTGCTTGGTTGCAGAAAGCCAGAGCTGTGTTTTTATTATGTGTAGTTCCCATTCTGCCCTACCAGAGCACTTGGAGTGGGGACGGGGTGACATTATTTTAATAGAAAGTGGAGCAGGATAATTCCTCTTTCTTTCCTTCCGTTTCAGGGAAAAAGAACTGGCCAAAGTCACAATCAAGAAAGAAGATTTGGAGTTGATTGTGAGTCTAGCACAGTGTTGATTGGACAGCTTGGGTGATGGCTCAGCATTGACAGAGGCTGCTTTCTAATGTCACTACAGGCCATTTTAGTTGTTGCCTCTTGGTAAAGAATCTTCTTCTTTTCCTTACAGATGAACGAGATGGAAATATCCAGGGCAGCAGCAGAACGCAGCTTGCGAGAACACATGGGGAACGTGGTGGAAGCACTGATTACCCTCACCAACTGAGGGCCACCTGCTAGATGGACTTTTGGGGAGCAAGGGAAGGAGATAGCCTCTCTTTGGCCTGTTCTGCACAGGTTCTTTGCATATGATATTTTAAAGCTGCTGGAATAAATAGTCCAATTTTTTGAAGTTGCTGTTAATGTGGTTTATAAGATGTTTATCATCATCATCATCATCATCATCATTTGTTAAATTTGTATACTGCCCTTCATCCGAAGATCCCAGGGTGGTTCTCAGCTGACTGAAGGACTAGTGGTGGTAAACAAAAGGGATCCTTTTGTTCCATTAAAACAACAACTTGCAAAATTCAATCTAAAATTCAGACTTTTAAAGCTCTTGGGTGTTCTTTTCCAGACAAGGAGAAACAGTGGAGTGATGCGCAGGAGACAGGAAGAGAAAACAACAAGTGGGAAGCTTTCCCCCCCTCCCCCTTTCCAGTTTGGGTAGGCAGAGTTGCATTGTAAACTATACTGTGGGCCCTTAATAGCCATTATTTTTGAGGCAACCAGTACTGGAATTTTCCTAAGCTACTATCGGCAATCCTTTAGATGGAACTCAGAAAAATGAACGGGTTTGTGGGAACAGGAGGCCAGTTTTGAAATCTTTCAGGAAACTATACCTAGATGATTTAAAAACTTACATCTTGCACACTGGGGTGCTGGGCCATATCCAGTTGTTGCCAATTTAAACAGCACCAAAGGGAAGCTGTACCTACAAAGAACTTGAAGCTCCTGTTTGTGCTTTCATAGCTTTTACATCCCACACCTGATGTCCTATGAGTGTGGGGCCTAATTCTGCCCACAAGCCAGAGAGGTTACAAAATGTGTTTCTCACACAGCACTGCAAAGCCCCCTTTCTACTAGAAGTGGGTCTGATTATCTTATTAGAGCATCATGTCTGCCATAACAGGTTCCCTACTTGTTAGAACATTACCACAACAGCAGCTTGGTAAGAAATACATTTAATACAGGTGTCACCTTGCTTTTCTCTTCCCCGCCCTACAGTGCCTCTAAAGAGAACGAGAAATATTTACAATTGGCAAATGCCTCCCAAAACTAAAAACAGGGCTGTAGAGGGAGCTGGCATACCTCAAGGGCAATGATGAGCCTGCTGAGCTGGTGCTAATTCCTTAAAAACGGGTTATAGTTATGAGTCAAATCCTCCATCCAAAGATGACAGAAAAAGTGGGTCCAGGCCTTTGATAATCTATAGTCCCATGCCACAGAAACAGGGCAAAACTGATCCAGCAAGATCCTAACAGTGCCCCAAATTATTCTTGATGACTCAGGTGACCTTCCGCTTCTTGGCAGAGGGTCTCTCAAAGACATCCCTCACACCAGCTGCCTTCTGCTTGAAGAACTTGGTGTTTTGTGCACTCTCCTGCCCCCATGCAGAGTCAAAAGAGGTTGTATCTTGGTCTACCAAGTGGGTGTACTTTGTTCGTCCAGAGCGCCCAAAGTTCTTCACCTGCAGAGGAAAGAGTTTAAGAAATGGAGAAGCTTCAAAGAGAATTCACTTTACTTCAACCCTTCTGGAATTCTGGTTGGAGGGGGCACATGCATACAACACCAGCAAGCCAAAGCTAGTTGGGGCTCCGAGCCCAAACAACAGAACCCCCTCCTCCTCATGTACCTGCATGACTTTGGGTAAGATGGTCTTGTTGAAGTGGTCCTCCAGAGTTGGAGCACTGAAGTCCCTCTTGTATACATCCTCATCTTCATCCTAGAGAACAAAGAGCACAGTAGGTAAGTAGAGACATGTTTGCTCACAACAGCCTCTCTCCCCTTATTCTACCAAGCATCCCTAGGCTGACCTTGGGAGTAAAGGTCTGCATAGTATAGCCTAAATAGAAAAGAACACTACTGTTCAGGGACTGCTTGAGAAAGTGCTGGAATTCAGCCCCCCTCTCCCCATGGCGGCTATATCTTGGAAAGCAGCCACTTTTCCTTTCCAGTGTGCACTTGAGTTCTTACTGTGTATTCAATGACAAGACTTTGACTGGGAACTCACCATGAAGAAGGCCCCCCGATGGTAGTACTTCTGCAGGAACTTGTATTTGCCCTTCACCGCCTTGTTGGTAATGACCTTGCCGTTGGCTCGGAGCTCAGCCCGTCGTTCCTCCTCAGTCAGATTCCGCACTCGTTCGATTTCTGCCTTCTCTTTCTCTAACCTGTGTGGAGCAGAACATATCCTTCACTCCAGACACTTGATTCTGCACAGGAGATCTCTGTAAACATCCCTCTCCAGAAGTGTGGATGGATCTAAATCCATTCCACTTCAATTACGGATGTCCACTCCCCAACTTTCTGCTCACTGCAGAAGACTCCGTCAGCTGGGGAATGGATATCAGCAAGATCAGACCCACACCCGAGGAACCTCTTCTTCCTGGCTGGAGCAACCCAGAAGACCTCTCCCTCCTCAAATGGACTGTGCCACATCCCATTTCACTTACGCCTCACGCTCCTCTCGGTCCCGCTTGATGCGCTTCAACTCCCGCACTTTCCAGGCCTCATACTCTTCCTCATCATTCTCATCATCAGTGTCCAGAGCATCGAGGGCTGCCAAGGAGCGCCTGTTCTCCTCCAACTCTTTCTTGGTTTCTTCTTCAACAATCTACAGCAAGTTAACAGAGAGTGAGTGTTTTGGGGTACTCAGGCTCCTCTAACCCTGAAACCCATGTGCCTGCCTTTCCTAACAATACCTTCAGGGTGTACTTGCGCCTCTCCTCAGCCATTCGCTTGGCCTCCTGCTCCAGTTCCTTCTGTTTCAGTGCTTCGGCCTCACGTTCCTGGACTGTGACTCTGTCCTTCCTGTAGAAGACATTGGAGATCAACTCAAACCACCCCAAGCCAAACCGGCTGCTCACTAGAACCAATCGTCTCCCTTGTCATAACCTTCCTAAGAAGCACCCCCGACAGACTTGCATTTATGTGTTGTCAACAGAAGGCAACTCTGAAAGTAGCCCAAGCCGGGAAGCTCTGATAGGAAGGCTCTTAACTACCAACTGTGCTTTAGAAACCAGCCTCCCCCCTCCCTGCTCAGGACTGATGGCACTTGCTTGCGGATGAAGACAGGTTTCAGGCGTGGCTCAGTCTCATCCTCACTATCTGTATACTCCTCATACTCGGACTCTGATTCGGACTCCTCTCCAGAACGGCCCTCATCTTCCACCTCCATGACTTCCAGCTCCTCATTCTTACGTTCCTGTGCACGCTGCCGCATCATGCAACGGCGACGTTCAATTTCCTATCAAGAAAGAAGGGCTCAGTGGTACAGCATCTGTATAAATGCAGTCCCAGGTTCAATCCCCAACATCTCCAAGTAAGGCTGGGAGAGGCCCCTATCTAAGCCCCTGGAGAACTGCTGCCAGTCACTGTAGATCTACTGAGCTAGATAGACCAATGTATAAAGCAGTTTTCATATGTTCATATCTGGAAAAGGGCCATAGCTCAATGGTCTCCATCAGCATCTCCCAAGTAGAACTGGGGAAAGTGCCCATATCCTTGAAGAGCAAGGAGTCTCTTGTAAACTTCATCATCATCATTTCACTTCTATACTGCTTTATCATTTTTTAAGGAAAAAAAATCTTAAAAGCGGTTTACATCCTACATTAGAACATCCAGAATAAATGTCATACATAAAATATACAAACGAAACAGGAATGCTTTAACAGGAAATTAATATATCATCTTAAAGATTTCAAAATAAAAACATTATAAAGGAGGCCAACTACACACATTTCCACCCAAGATTCAGAACCCAACACCAAGACTGGAAAATGTAGCTCCTCAGGCCTGCTCATACCTCATCGTCAATCTCCTCCTCTTCCTCCTCACTGGTGTCCTCTCTCTCCACATGCCAGGCCTCTCCTTCCACTTCTGAGTCACTCTCCCCTATCACTTCTGGTTCCACAATCTTACGATGCCTTGCCAGCCTAGAACACAGACACCCACCTTTTTGTAATATTTTTTACTGGTTTTTATAATTGCAATACTCACAAAATAAGATCAAAGAAAATAAAACAAGCAAATCAAGGAAAGCAATATGGAATGTGACACAAGAATACTGTTTGGGCAGGTGCTTCATGAGTCAAATAAAGCTTTACTTACACTAACCCACTTTTAACGTGACAAAACGGCATGCAGCTCACAAAACACCCCTCCTATGTCAGGTGATTACAGCCTTTCCCCCACAGATTGTCCTCTTCCACTTCATGCCAAGCGCAACTTCCCAAGCAACTCTGCCCTCAACACTCTGCTGCCCCTCACCTCTCCTCCACATCCTCTGAGATGCGGTTCTGTAGGCGGCGCAAACGGGGGTCGCTGGCCAGCTCTTCCTCTTGCTCCTCCGGTTCCAGCTCCTGCTCCTTGGCCTTCTTGATGAACTGGAACTCTTCGTCCTCCTCATCCGAGGACTCCATGGGGGCATAATCTGGCCGCTTCCCCGAGACGTAGCGTTTTACTTTCACCTTTTCCATCGAGATCTCCCCTGGAAGTGGAGCGAGAGGTCAGGAGGGGAGAAACTGAGCCTGCCCCAGGGCGCCCCCCCCCCGCAGCCCCTGCCCCAGGAGGGAGAAGAGCTCAGGTTCAGCTGCTTCTCTCCCCCCCCCCCATCGTCCAGGATACGTAAGATTCCCCCCATGTCCCGCTCCCCGCCCCAGGACGCCTCACCCTTCTCGTTGCGGACGGGGACGGCCCCCGCCGTCGACTGGATCGGGGGCTGCTTCATGAGGGCGCTGCTGGAGCCCGACATGGCGGCGGTGTCTCCTCCTCAGGGTCTGGCGAAAGGAGCCCTCACTGAACCAGGCACACAAACACAGACGCCAAGCTCTAGCCGGAAGCTCTGTCCAGAACAAACCGGAATCGGAAGCCAGGTAGGACGCCACTACGCATGTCAGCACACAAGTTTAGGCGTCACTTCCGCTGTCGCCTGTCCCCCGACTAGGAGCTTCCGCCGTAGCGTGTTCGACGCTCCTTAAGCGCTCCCCCCGGCTCTACGTACGCGCGGGTGGGGGTGAGGGCGGGGCCGTGTGGCTCCGCCTCCACACGGTCTTGCTGAGCAGCGCGTTCCTCTCCTTCCTCCCCCGCTTCCCCATGTCCTGTGACCCATTTTTCAGCTTCCTGCCCCCGTTTCGTTTTCCTGAAAGAGGCCCTTTCGCCCTCCAGGCTATTATTCATCTTGGCCTGCACTGCAGGGGTGTCGTGAGCCACTCTCAACCAGTCCAGCCTTCGTGAGGGCGCGGGGCGGGGCAGAACTATGAGCACTTTTTGCTTCTGTATTTGCAAGGCTATTAAATAATAGTATGAAATTAAATTGTGAAACCGCTTTGATACTTCTTTAAATAAAGCCACTAATAAGTGCAATTAATAATAGACGTTTTTAACCCACCCCAAAAGTACCTTTCTTTATTAAAATAATAATAATAATGAAATAAGATCTGTGTTAGAAAAATCAGAGGGGTGTAATAGGCAAAATCTGCCCTTATTCCCTTATGGGGGACACAAGAGCCCTTATAGAGTCCTTTGTAGGTTCTCCATCGGTAGGAGAAAATAACAGAGGCCAACCAGAGAATATAGAGAAGCAAATCAACTAGTAAGCCTGATCTTTATTGAACTGTTGCAACAGGGTGCTCCCCTCACACCAGGAAAGGAGGAGGACTCAGAACCAAGGTGTGCCTGCCCTTATATAGACATTTTAAATTCCCTGCCCTGGAGCTCAAGACCTCCCCTCCATACATCATACATACATCACTGAAGGGGTGTAACCCCCACAAACATCATACCTACATCACAGAAAATATGGTCTACAACAGAAATTTGAATGTTGTTGTTTTTCCTGTCTGCCAGGTTATCTGAAAATGCCTTATCTGATTGACTTTCCTGGTAGTCTGGCCATTCCTTTGAGATGGTGATTTCCCAATTCCTGAGACAATGGGAAGGTTCCCTCACCCTCTCCCTCTTTGCAGAGAAAACATTTGGTCAGTTTGGGAGTCAAAATGGTTTCAGGGCGGTCTTCCTGTGCTGCTCCAGATATGTGGTCCACATATTGTACATGCTTGGTTGGTACGTTTATGAACATTTATTATATATATAAAAGATCTTAACTTTTTTATTACAAGGGGGGGTGTGTCTTGTTGGCCATGTGTTCCCACCCACTCCTTGATCTAGAGAACACCAGAACTAGAAGCTCCTGCAGCAGGTGGTTGCCCACCCAATACTTACATGGAGGGCGAGGAGCTCACCCACCCAGTGATCCCTTCCAGAGCCAGTGGTTCTTTTGTCTCTGCTCTCTTAAGAAGATATTCCTAGTTAAACCAAAACCTCCCCTTTAGCCCCATTAGATGCATTTTTGCCCTCTTCTGTGTAGCAGCCCTTCAGGTCCCTGAGGAGTGCAGTCATGTTCCCCACCCATTTTGTTTTCCAGCCTAAACATGCTCAATCTCTTCAACATTCCCTCATAGGGCTTCTTCCCTATACATCTCAGAGCATGTTTCTTGCTCTCTTCTGAACCTGCTCCAGTCTGCATATCCTCCATAACCCCAGGTGTGGTCTGAGGGCAGAGCAAAGTGGAACTATTGTTACTTGTGACTAAGGTTTGGGCTGCAACGTCATCAGTGTGCATATAACTTGCTCTGCCTCTGTTTTCCACTTCCTGGTTCCAGAGAGGCCATCTGAAAGAGGCAGTTGTGGTATGGGCCAGGGCAAACAAGCTGAAACTTAATCCAGGTGTGGTGATGGTAGTGTGGATGGGGAAACCTATTGGTCTGCTGAGGAGGAGTCAGCAGGGACTGACTGGACAGGGTCCTCTTGAGGGATCAGGTTCGGAGCAACAGCTGCCTGTTCCCAGTCCTGAGGCAGCTCACCTGTTCTGCAGGGTTTCTCAGACATGATACACAGAACTTCTCAGCAACCTGCTTTAGTACCAAAGGATGGAATTCATTTAATGTAACCCTGCACACCTGAATCCCCTAGGGCTTTCCTGATCAGCTTCTTATTAATCTCAAACTGCGCAGAGACTGAGTCTGTTGGCTACAAGCCATAATGGCTCTGTACTACCTTTAGTATTGGTGACAACATGCCTCTGGACACCACCTGCTTGGGCACACAAGTTGGGTTAGTGCTGTTGTACTCATTTCCCATTTGACTCCTGAGTTCTGACCCTTCCACTTCCCTCGAGACACATTTGTGGACCAGGGTGTCAAGTGGAGCCCCACCCTGGTGCAGTGTTGCCTCCTGAGGGACCATGGGGACATGCCAGACCTTCCCAGCCAGCATCTGCCATGCGTAATGCATGCTTTCCCTTGGGGGTAATTGAATTTCCACAGGAACCGGTGTGTGCATTTGCTCATGTTTCTCCATAGCTGTGCTGACAACATCCTTTTCAACTGATGAAAATTGCCCCAGGTGGATTAGAATCAGCAACATCCTGAACTTGTTTGTTTCTGCTTTGTGGACTAAACCACAGAGTTCCCTCATTTGGTACTGCTGTTCAGATAATCCACAAGCCATAGCCAGTGTTGGAAACTCCCATTGTTCTAGGTGCATTTTGCGACAGGGAATTTCATTAGCGTGAGCAGTTTCTGAGCTCTGGACGCAGCACTGTGTCTAAGATTCAGATTAAAACTACAGAGTGGAAGGAAAGGGGGACCTTTTTCTGCATCCTCACTTCCAACTACTCTCTGAAGACTGAAGAAGAGATCCTCTTAAGAATATTAGGAGGGTGGGCAGGGGAAGGACTAGACCATGTCAAAAATGAATATAATATAATACTTTAACTGCAGTTCATTCATTTTCAGCTTTGCATTCTTGTATACAAAAGCGCGTCTAGACATTCCGTTGTTGCGCCCATAACCTAGGTTTAAGGTGCCATTTAGCTCCTAGCTTTCATATTTTAGTTACTAACACTGGCCGTAGTCACTGGGAGATACATCTGAACCTGAGCTTATGGTTTAATGCTAAGCCAAACTATGGTTTCAATCAGCGTAACATGATAGTGGTAGCAGGATGACGGGAGGAGTAAGGAGCTGGGAGTTTTGCTTCATGCACTCACTTGCATGCTCTCTTGTTCATGCAAAGCTATGGTATGCCTTCATGTCACATGGAGACTAGGCCATCATCTCTGGTTGGTGCGCTGTGTCAGGGATGTTAGGGACGCCTGTTCTTTTAACACTGCTTTTGCATTTTCTGGAGTTGGGCTTTCTCTCCCAGCTGAGCACTTGCTAGAGCAGCTGTTCCACCACATAATGTCTGTGTATCTTCAGGTTACTTGACATGTTACTTGACATGATGTGGAGATGTGAGGTTAGGTTTTCCTGGTTGGGGGTCTTGTTGTGGCCTGGGAGCTTGCTCCATAGTCTCTGTCTCCCATCATCTTTTCCCTCACTCCTTACATGCCTCACTCCCCTTCATTTCAGGCCCAAGTATTAGAAAGTCAGTTAGGGGAAATGGTACAGTTTATTAGGGTCCAGAGATTTGTGATGGAGGCAGGTTAGGCTACATTCCCATTGCTGCATGGAAAAGAAATGGAGGCTAAATTGTGGATTATGCTTGAGGATATTTACGGACATTATCTGTGCCTCTATTGTCTAGATATCTTGTGAGATTTGCTGGAGCCAATCAGAAGCCGTGTTAGAGCAGGACAAACAACATTATGAACAGTGAGTTGTGGGGCCAGGCCCGTCCCTATCTCTGAGAGTGAGCTTGGGTAGTTAAATTAGGACATGCTCTTTGAGAGAGAACAACATTTGCCTTTCTCTTTACAGTGCAGCAAACTATTTGCTTTGCCTACACAGCCAGAGGCAGTAATGTTTCTGAATACCAGTTGCTGGAAACCACAGGTGGGGAGAGGGCTCTTGTGCTGTGGTCCTGCTTCCGGGCTTCCCACAGGCATATGCCTAGCCACTGTGAGAACAAAATGCTGGACCAGATGGGCCCCTTTTGGCCTGATCCAAACTTTGTTGTGCACAAGGAAGAAGGTACAAGTTTGCGGAAGGGGCAAAGCATAATAATCAAGGACATTCATCCCAGGGACAGAGCCAGCACTGCTAGGCGGATTGACAAGTCCAAAGTATGTGTTTGGGGAATGTCTAGTTCAAACCACACACTAGGCAGGAACAGTTAGGCCACCTGGCTGTTTTGTGTGCTTTGTCTTTTGAGAGTAAACTGGCAAGATAAATAAACTTTAGGGGGATGGTACATGATTTTGCAATTGAAAAGTCCAGGGGGAAAAATAAAGTTGTAAAGTGTTTATGAAGTGTGTGCTGCTGCATTGGATCAGTAGAACAACAGGATAGTGTTTTTATTAGGACAATCAAAAGTTATGACATAGTTTTGTTGGAATCTTTTTTTAGATTGAATGTTTATTAAAAATCACGGGTACTGCTGGTGGTTGGAGGCATGGCAGAAAAGCCCCCGTGTAATGTAAGAAAAGTAAAATAATTTTAAAATGGCTTTCTTTCCTGACTCATGAGAATGTAGGGATTGGGTTGTGGTATGCCAGTGGGAGGTGGTGGCCTGGGTTACCATTTTGTACTGGGTCCCCCATAGATTGTGCTCTCTGGCTCCCACCTCAGGGTTCCTAGTGTCTGGTTCCTGTTCTGTTCACCGTTGGATTCCAAATCTGACCCTTTGATGTTCTGTACAATTTGGCTTCTGGCCATGGGGCAAAGATCTCTGTGGAAGTTGCTCCTCCCAGTGTTTGTTCCCCTCTGTCATGCCCCCCATGGCAGGCACTCCTGTTTGCATGGAAGAGGCTGGCTGTATCTGACCAAAGAGGCCCCATCTAGTCTGGATGCCAGTTCCCAGAGTGTCCAGCCAGGTGCCTCTGGGAAGCCTGCTAGCAGGACATCATCCCATCAACTGGTATTCAG